CCGAAACCCACAGACAGTCCGGAGCCGGGAACAGTGAGGGAAAGGGGCGAACAGCACCTAACCAAAACGGGGTGGCCTCAGGGGCATCCGAGTGGGAAAGCAACCTAGCATGTTGCAGCAACCTAACCTAGCTTGCAACACGAATGCCGCTTGTACTCTGAACAGTAATAACATCAGGAGAGTACTGGAGAACAAGCAGAGAATCTCTCGCAAGACTCCGGATCAAGGTGTCAGTGACCCAACAGGCAGCATGACGGAGGTAAAAATGGCGACTGTCACCTGGAGACAAGGGCATAGCAACCAACGAGCCCGTACAAGACGGGTTGGAACCCGGAAGACACATTCAATGGTCCCCCGAGCCCAGACAGGGGTTTCCAGGGCCCGTAGGCTGACTGCTACGGGAAGCCCGGGCAAGGTGTTGCTAACCGGTTAAGAAACCCAAATATAACAAGAGGGTAGAGGATAGCACTGAAAACCCCTGCGATGTGTACAATCACGGGGGCCTAGCAGAGGGCCACCAAACACTACCAGTGGAACTATAGCCACACTAGGCACACCCCCACCAGGCAAATGAAAATAAAAACAAAAGAAAAACCCCGCAAAAGAACACCGTCACCAGAGGCAACAGGAACCGGCCGCCGCTTAGGTGGCAGGCTGTGCAACACCTTGACGCCCTAACCAGCACAATACCAATCCCTACCCAGGGCCAAACAAGGGCCCCAAGCTCCAGCTGGCCCCAAGGGCGAGGCAAATGCCGAGCAGCAAGAACCTCTATGGGAACGGTTCCCGAACGCCCCAGGGAAGATAACCCTGTTACGCAAGGGCAGTACTCACAGGGCGCTTAGGGAAGTCAGCCACTAAGCACATGCAGCCCCGGCACTGATGAGGTACTCCTGGCCACCGCACAACACAACACACGGCAGTGAACGCCACACAAGGCAAACACCGCCTAGGAAACTAAGGCCAGAGAAGTGTCTATCCCGGTTGACATTAGCTTACGAACTGAAGCTTGGCAGCCGGCGCGGTAGGTCCGGGGCTCCCCCCTCCCCCTCTCGGGGCGGGGAGGGCTGCGCGGACGATCGGCGCGGCAGTAAAGTGTGATGTTTGCTTGTTTCCTTGTGATTGTTGGGAGTTTCTACCTCTCTGTTCGGTTTTTTGTTTTAGTTTTTACCATGTTGGGTTTGTTTTGTTATGCCTACCTTTCTGGGTGCCTAACCCCGGTCGATGGCAGATAAAGAAAACCTCAACCACAAGGGGTTTTCCAGGGCCATTACTCCCTGAAACCTCTCTGAAGGGGCCAGATTCTGGCGCTGGTCCCTGGTAGGTCTGAACTTCTAAGCTAATGTCCCGGTCTAATATAACATACATTAGCCCGATAAGCTCCAGGGAGCCGTAGGGGCTCCCCACAGAAAAGAAAACCCCCGCATAGGTATCACAACCACAGGAGGAACAGGAAACACGGCCGCCGCGCTATAGGTATGGGTGCTACGCAGCACTGATGCACCCCAACCAGCAACACCATAATCGCCTATTACCCAGGGCCAAACAAAGTCCACAAAACCCCAGCTGGCCTCAAGGGCTGGGTAAATATCGAGCAGCTGGAATCCCAATGGAAGTGAAGGCCCCAAGATTCCTAGGGATGGCAACCATAGAACCTAAACGTAGTACTTACAGGATGCTTAGGGAAGGCAGTCCTTAGCTCAGGCAGTCCCAGTACACTATGTTACTCCTGGCCACCGCGCCACAAACAGCAGGAAAACACCAGAGATGCACAAAATCCAGCATGAAACTGAGGCCAGAGATGACAGCCATCCCTAGAGCACTTCAGCCTACAAACTGAGGTGTGGGGCAGCCGGCGCGGGGCTCCGAATTTCCTCCTCCCCCCTCCCGGGGAGGGGGAGGGCTGTGCGGACAAGCTGCGTGGCTGCGGTGAATGACGTTTGCTTGTTTCCTTTGTTTTCTTTTTGCAAGTTATGTTTCTCTATTCGGTCTTGGTTTTTTTGCAATTTCCTATCATGTGGAGTTTGTTTTGAGGTGCTTACCTTTCTGGGTGCTTAGCCCTGGTCAACGGCAGATGGAATACCCCGAAATGCAAGGGGGTTTTCCAAGGGCCATTGCTCCCTGCACCTCTCTGAGGGGGCCAGGGAGGTTCTGGCTAGTGGTTCCCAGTAGGCAGAACTCCACCGACTTAAGCCCCAGACTAATATAGCGTATACGAGTCTGATAGCTCCAGGTAGCCGAAGGGGCTTCCCACAGAAAAAGCCAGGACCACACAACAAACCAGGAAGCAATGCATGCACCTCAGACATTAAAAGCTAGGACCATAAAAGCAAATGGACCCCACAGGACATAGTCCAAGGATAGCCAGCATTTAGCTTAAAAGCAGTGGGCCATGATTTTTTTTATGTTGGCATAGCACAACTGCGTTGTGTTATGCCACCACATCAACAAGCAGGATCTTGGAGTTAGCAGTGGGTTGAGGCCCCAAGACAGCCTGGTGGCAGTTATCAGTACTAATGGGTTTATGCTAGAATAATTCACTTGTTTTGCCGGCATAGTTGCAGAGTACTGAAAGTCCGGAACCCAACCACCAAAACGGGGCAGCCTCGGGGCAATCGGGGCCGCAAACAACCAAGAACGACGCAGCAACCTACACCCAGCAAGCAACGCCGCAGCCGCCTGCACCCGATTATCATGACCAGTGGCCTGGGTGAAAGAGAGCACGTACTGACAACACTCGTCGTACGACTCCGGGTCACAAGAAACAATGACCCAACAGGCAATATGGCGGAGGCACAACCGGTGAGTGTCATCCTGAGACAAGGCGACAGAGCAACCGTCAAACTCGCAGGACGCGAGAGGGACTCCGGGGACACACCTATAGGACCACGGAGCCCCCGTGGGGTTTCCCAGGGCCCTTAGCCGTTGGTACACACTAAGGGAAGCCCAGGCAGGGTACCGCAAACTGGCGCCCAGGTCTACCAAGAAACTGCTAAAAGCTGAACCCCCGGGACGTGTCCACTCACCGGGGCCAAGCGGGGAGTACCACCAACAGAAGAAATTGAAAGAAAAACACCTAGAACAGGAATGGTGGACCATAAAGGCAGACCCCACCAGGCAAAAACAAAAGAAAAACCCCGCAAGAGGACACCATACCCAGGCGGAACAGAGCTAGCCGCTGTTAATGGTGAAAACTAGCTGTGCAGTACCCCGCAACCCTACCAGTGACGAAAACTACTACCTACCCAGAGACAAGCCAGGGCAACTAAACCCCAGCCGACTCCAAGGGCGGCCCAGTACTGAGCAGTAAAGGACACAGCGGAGGCAGAACCCAAGGTGACTTGTAGAAGGTGGCCCCAAGGGGCAGTACTTACAGGGCACCTAGGGAAGATAGCCCTAGGTGCATGCAGCCCAAGTACTGTGGAATCTTACTCCTGGCTCACACCCCACCGGTAGAGACAGTCCACACCACAAGGCACAGAACTGAAACAAAAACCGGAGCCAGAGGCACTCGACCGACCAGTAATTCCATCAGCCAAGAACTGCCAGTTGGATCTCCGGCGTGGAGGGTCTGGGGCTCCCCCTTCCCCCTCCCGGGGAGGGGGGGGGGTTGCGCAGACGGTGGCGCGGCGACGTGATGACGTCATGTTAGTTTTATAATTTTGTTTGGGGAGTTCTGTCCACTCGTTCGGCTTTCTGCATTATTTTCACCAGAATAGGGGTTTGTTTTGGGGCGCCTACCTTTCTAGGTGCCTGTCCTGGTCGATGGCAGACATAGAATGGTTCCAATCACAAGGGGGTTTTATAGGCCATTGCTCCTCGTGCCTCTCTGAGGGGGCCAGGTTCTGGCTCGTGGTCCCAGTAGGCAAGAACTCCTAGCACTTTGACTGATGCCAGAAAGTTATACATATCCACTCAGCCTGGATAGCTCCGGGGAGCCGACGGGGCTCCCCCCAGAAAAATTCCATTTATTGTCCGAATACAATGAGAATTGTTTCAAAATGTGAACCAATTCTCTTTCCATTCTCAGTATACCCCACATGACCTCCTGACCCTGCCGTGTGGGCACCCACCCTCGCTGGAGGCTCACTGTTCTCATGACCTTGCTCGTGACAGAAGCAGCCTCCCCTCGAGTCAAAAAGTTTCCCCATTCCGGTTATTTTATCTCGAGTATTTGTTGTTACCAGTTTTATGAACACTTTAAATTGACTTCCAGATGAATACTGATCAAGAACAGAGCCAATCTATGATGAAAGCATTGAAAGAAACACATGAGGGAAAAGTTATTGAGTGTTCATCGAAAGTATAGGGAAGTGAGACTTATATGTTTTTATGTGCAAATATTCCTTTACAGCATTTTAAGGTGAACAATTGACCAAATTGAACAATGTAGCACGAAAATTGAGGTGAGAATGCTGAAAACAGAATAAACATTAGTGTGTTGCTCTCTTGGGCAACACTTGGGCTACCTTGCAGCGAGCAGCGAGTCTAAAGTATCAGAAAGTGAGATTTATATGTTCTTATATGCAAGTATCCCTTTATAGCATTCTATGGCGAACAACTCACCAAACTGAACGAAGTAGCACAAAAATTGAGGTGAGAAAGCTGAAAAGAGTATAAACATTAGAGTGAGGTTGTGTGCTCGCGGGCAACGCTCAGCGGACAGTTGTGTGGCATGTGTGGCGGGTCGCCCGCTGGGTCAGCGAAAGTGTTAATTAACTGGTATCTGGTTCAGATAAGGTTTACATGTTATCTGACCACTGATTTGGTAATCCATAGATGGAGTAAATAAATAAACAAATGCCAATGATGAACAGGGCACAGGCTAGATAAAGTTTCCAGATTATATGAGCAGTGCTCGAATAACTTGAAGATAAACTGAATTATCTGAATTCCTTGATCAACTGACCATGTTGCTTATTAGTCAGCCTTAATTAGTTCAGATAATTGAAAGAATGTTAAGCTTATACAGGATCATGAAAAAAATAAATAGGTCTTACCCTGTTGTAGAGGATTACTGCGTTGTGACTCATCGCGCACCGGTACATGGAAGGCTCGAGCAATGTGAACAATAAGTTGCACGTTCTGGTCTCCCAAGCCTACACCGCGTACCCGATCTCTCTTTTTTCTCTCTGGTTTTAGTGGACGGCGAGCTTTGAATACTGACAGCAGAGAAGTTCCAAGAGTCCTGCAGTTACATTTTGAGAAAAGTGCATATTCAGTATTATTAAAAATTATTTAAGTACAGGTAGAAGCTAAAAAACTAGCGTTGAATGTAATGAAACACCATTTTCTGGGTGAGTCCCGGAAGCTTCCTGGAGCTATCCAGGCTGATATGGATACCCTAACTATTTTGCATCAGTCAATGTGGGTAGAGTTCTAGGCCAACCGGGAACCAGGACCCAGAACCTGGCCCCCTCACAGAGGGACAAGGAGCAATGGCCCATAGAAATGCACATGTGATTTGGAACAGTCTATATCTGCCATCGACTGGGACAGGCACCCAGGAAGGTAAGCGCCACAAAACAAACCCCTATTTGGCTAAAACAACGAAAAACGGCAACGAGTGGACAGAACTCCCCAAAAGAAAAACGAGCAAACAAGCATGACGTCCCCGGAGTCGCGCCGCATGTCTGCGCAGCTCCACAGTCCCCGGAAGGGGGAGCCCCGGATCCCCCCGCCAGTGATCCATCTCTCAGTTCCGAGAAAAGATATAAAAAACATGAAAAACCTCCAATCGGAGGGAGGGAGGGAGGGTTGCCGGGGAGCCTCCAGATCTCACCCAGAAATGGCGTTTCATTACATTCAACGCTGGTTTTCTGGGGGTAGCCCCTACGGTTTCCCAAAGCTATTTCACCAAAGACAAAAGGAAAACAAGGGACTTACCCAGGAGGCGGTCGGTACTCCACACCTCAACTCGAAGTCAAGACCACGGGCTGCAACCGCTAACCCAAAGTGACACAGGCCCGATTAGCCCCAGGGACGTTCACGAGGTAGCGTGCAGCCAGGACCCTGGTCGATAGCCAAAAACCCCTGTACCTGAATGTAAGCCCAAGCCATGTTGCCAATGATGGCAGCAAGAGCAGCAAACTTACAAATGTCATGGGCACGAGGATAGACCACAGGCTGGCTAGACTTAATTACCCTGTGGACGACCCGAGAGACCTGCACCCGCAAACAGGGAAGAAGTGAAACAGGGTCAATCCAAAGCGCGTCCCTGGACACAGAAGCCGTGGCGCGCAGATAACGGCGGAGGGCCGCAAGCGGACACAACACATGGTGAACCCCTGGCCTGACCAACCAAGCATCAAAAACCCAAGGGCCCCTCCGGAAGGCAGCAGTCTCGTTTTTCGACAGAAAAGAGGGAGACAGCTGCAGACAAACATACCTATAACCACGACCAATAGAGCAGAAGCCCCTGCGCCAGAGAAGAGCACGAAGCTCCGCAACCCGACCTCCAGAGGCTAATGCCAACAGAAATAGAGCCTTAGTAAAACAATCCCGAACCAAAGGGACCACAACAAACCGAGGAGGAGAAGAAAGATAAGAGAGCATTCTGTCCAAAGCTCAGGATGGCTCAGGCGACTCATGAGCAGGCCGGAGGTGAAACAACACACGAGAAAGCTTGCAAAAGGGTGTAGAAGAAACATCCATACTGAAAGCAAGCTGCAGCGGTTCCGCCAGCACCACACTATACGAGGAAACAGTATTCAGTATAAGATGACGGTCCTGGAACAACCAAGAGAGAATGGACACCACCCTAACCAAAAGCGAAGAGCAACAACGAAGGGACAAAAAGAAAAGGAAGGACCGCCAGGAAACTTCATACTACCTCCAAGAAGAAGCCCGCAGGTGGGACACCATCAAGGAAGCCACCTGATCACCATAGAGATGGTGATAAACCCGAGTCAAAAACACCAAACGTGGAGACTCGAGGAGAACAGCGAACCAGTCTCGTAACAGACCGGGACGATCTGCTGAAAGAAGCGGAGTCGCGGAGAAACCTCCAGGTTCAGACACTGAGCAAGCAGCGCCTGAAACCACGGCTGGGCCAGCCACCACGGGGCCAAGAGAACTACTCGCCCCTGGTAAGTCTCCAAGCGAGCCAAGACCTGGAGCAACAACTGAACCGGGGGGGAAGAGGTACAGAAACCCCCACCTCGAACAGTCCAGCCGAAAGGTATCGATCCTGACAGCCTTGCTGTCAGGGAAGGGCGCCACATACACAGGAAGACACCTCGACCACGCCGGCGCGAAGAGGTCCACCTCCGGGCACCCGAACGTCTGGCAGAGCCAACGGAAGGAGCCGGCATTGACCGTCCATTCCGTGAACAAGGGAACACAACGGGACAGACCATCCGCCAGGACGTTGGACACACCCCGGACGTGAACTGCCAGGAGAGCCAAACCCCAAGAATTCAGCAGACGAGTCACCCAAATCGACCAGCCCCAAAAAGCCAAGGACCGCATCGAACCCCCCCTCGGTTCAGGCAATGAACAATCGGGCAGCAGTCTGAATGGAGCAGGATCATCGATCCGCAGGCGACCCGAGCCCTCCAAAGTGCAAACCACACCGCCGCGAACTCCCGCACCGTGCTGTTGGCCTGATGGAAGGACGGACCCTATTGCCCCTGGCTGGCCTGGTGAGCACTGGTCACAAAGCTCCAGCCTAGAGACGACATGTCCGTGTACACATCGAGCGAGGGCTCGGTCAGGCAACAAAGCACCGAACCCTGAAAAACCCGAAGAGGAAACCGGCTTGCAGCAGCCGACGCAAGGCCCCGGGGGGTCGAACCCAGCAATTGCGAGAGAGGCGGAAGGGACGTCCCTGAAGGAACCAGAACAACCGACGCAGTTCCCCCCTACTCGGCGGGTAGACCAACATCACAAAGTTCGGGCTCCCGCACAGACCCTCGAGCAACCGCCGGGTGACCTGGGAGCCCCCAAAGAAACAAGCTCAGGTGGGACCACAACTGAAGGAGAGACACCGGAGGAAAAGATAAAGAAGCGGTCTGAGAGTCCCACACAAGACCCAGCCAGGACCGAACCTGGTAGGGAACCAGATGGGACTTCCTCCAGTTCACCAGGAACCCGAACCCGGTGAGCTGGGAAACCACCAAGTCCCCTGGCGAGCAGACACGCAGACCAACTGAGAGCACAAACTAGCCAGTTGTCGAGGTAAGCCAACACCCGAACACCTAACAGACGCAGATGGGCCACCATGACCCGGGTGAGGTGTGTGAACATGCGAGGTGCCAGATTCAACCTGAATGGGAGACAATGAAAGCGGTAACACTGACGCCCCACAACAAAACTAAGCCAGGAGCCACTCAACGCCACCGCAGGCCGTGAGAAACTACCCGAAAAGCCCACAAATAGTGAGACCAGGCGTAAGCGAACAGAGCAAGTCTTCCCCCACTGCCCCGTGAATGGGGAGAACCAAGAAAGGGCCACTTCCACTTCCCCTTACGAGAACCTGACCTGCGCGCCGAGCGAACATCGCGCCGACCAGGCACAGCTGGAACCGCAGGCAGCACTGGCCCCGAACCCGACACCCATGGCCGACTCCGACGAACGGAACCGCAAGCCTTGGGGGACCGATTGAACCAGCAACGGGGAAGAACGAGAGGGCATGGACGGAACCAAGGCCCAAGCGACCACCACCCCCAAGTCCGCGTCCCTATAAGCAAAACGGGGCAGCCTCAGGGCGTCCGGGGCAGCGACAACCTGAGTGCATTACAATAACCTAAACCTATTGTGCAACGTGAGTGCTGCCTGCACCAGAAGAACATCATCCTCAGATGAGGTGAATCGAGTCAAAAGCAAGCATCAAAGCTCGCAGGACTCAGGGTCGAATGTGTCACCGACCCAACAGGCAGTTTGACGGACGCAAAAACAATGAGTGTCGCCCTGAGACAAGGGGACAGAGCAACTCTCAAACTCATACAAAGGGAGAGGGAACGCAGGGGTCTCCTTCATCGGACCCAGGGAGCCCCCGTGGGGTTTCCCAGGGCCTCCTAGACTGGGTCTGCTAAGGGTTATCCCAGGCAGGGTACTGCTAACTGGCACCTCAAACTACCAAGCAAACTGCTAAAAACTGAACTGATGGGACATGTCCACTCACAAGGGCAAAGCAAGGGGTGCCACCAAACGACCCTAATACAAGGGGAGGGAAAACACAAGGCAGACACCACCCCCCCCCCCCCCACCAGGTAAAAACAAAAAGAAAAGAAAAACCATGCAAGAGGACAATGTACCCAGAGGGAACAGAGCCAGTCGCTGTTAAGGTGAAAACTAGCTATGCAGTACCTCGCACCTCACCAGTGCAACAACTACCACTTACCCCAAGGCAACAAAGTGGGAACCCCCCACACACTCGGGGCGGCCAAACGCCAAGCAGCGAAAAGCCAACAAAGGTAGACCCAAGATGACTTGTGGAAGAGAACCCCAAGACCCTAGGGCGGTACTTACAGGGCACTCAGGGAAGGTGACCCTAAGCACATGCAGCCCGAGTACCTGAGAATAATACTCCCAGCTCACAGGACCACCGTAAGAGCAGCACTGCAAACAACGACAGCACTGAAGAAGACCGGAGCTAGAGCCACATGACCGTGTACTATCCCATCAGCCAAGGAACTGATAGGTGGATCGTCGGCGCTAACCTTCCCCTTCCCCCTCCCGGGGACGGGGGTTAGCGGCGCAGACATGCGGTGCGGCTCCGGTGATGTCACACTTGCTTGCTCGTTTTTCTTTTGGGGAGTTCTGTCCACTCGTTGGTGTTTTTCGTTGTTTTAACCAGAATAGGGGTTTGTTTTGTGGCACTTACCTTTCTGGCTACCTGTCCTGGTCGATGGCAGATATAGGATGCTCCAAATCACATGTACATTTCTATGGGCCATTGCTCCTCGTGCCTCTGTGAGGGGGCCAGGTTTTGACTTGTGGTCCCCGGTAGGCCTAGAACTCCACCCACATTGATTGATGCAAAATAGTTAGGGTATCCACATCAGCCATGGATAGCTCCAGGGAGCTGTAGGGGCTCCCCGCAGAAAATAATTACAAGTAAAAACAAGCACTGAATATAATGAAGCGCCTCTTCCAGGATGAGCCTTGTCGTTCCCTCATGCTAACTCTCCAAGATGGCTCCTAACTACTAGGTCACATCAGCCATGGATTTCTGTTGGCCTACTGGGGACCAGTGCCAGAAACTGACCCCCCCTCTCACACAGGTGTGGAAAGCAGGTGAACCCGGGAAGAAGCCGACCCCAAATCATACTCATACAGGGAAGGGGGGGTAAGAAAACCCCCTTCCACTGTAACAACAAGCCCCAAAAAAGGACATCAACACCCAAGTAGGGTCAAAGGGTGACCAAGCCCCTTTGACCCCGATCAACTCCTCGCCAGCCCTGGGATCCCCCAGAACAGGACCCTGGGCAGAGCAGTCCTCCATACCCTCTACCCCTGAAGAAAAGGCTGAAAAGAAGGGGTCTGCTGGTGAGACCCATAACCCTCAGAAGGAGGAACCGACTCGTAAGCCTCCGTCCCCGACCAGAATGGGGCAGCCTCCGAAGCTGCCCGAGTTTCATTACCAACTAAACCCTGCCTCGACTCCAAAACCCTCAGACGTTTGGGAGCCGGAAGCAGGGGGAAGAGGTGCAGGGTGAACAACAGGCAAAGGACCGACCAGGGAGCATGGACCAAACCAAAGTCGAAGCAAATAACGCCCCCAAGTCCGGGTCTCTATAACCAAAACGGAACAGTATTGGGGCATCCGGGTGGGCAACCAACATAGCGCGTTGCTGCAACCTAAACCTAGCATGCAACGCAGATGCTGGCCTATACCTGAATATCAATGTTATCAGAATGGGGTAAACTAGAGAACATGCAGAATACACGACTCACAAGACTACGGGTCAAAGGTGTCGTTGACCCAACAGGCAGCATGATGGAGGCAAAATCGGTGACTGCCACCCTGAGATAAGGGGCACACAGCAACCTTCAAACTCACACAAGATGAGCTGGGACTCGGAAGACGCATCCATAGGTCTACCCAAGCCCCAACAGGGTTTTCCACTACCTGTAGGCTGACTGCTACAGAAAGCCTAGGCAAGGTGCTGCTAACCGGTTAGACCCAAAGGTAACAAGAAGATCAAAACACTGAAACCCCTGCGACGTGTACAATCACGTAGGGCCTAGCAGAGGGGCCCCAAAAATATTATAAGTCGTCTTATAGCCGCACCAGGCAGACCTCCCACCAGGCAAACAAAACAAAAAGTAAAAAAAAAACCTGCAAAAGTACAACGTCCCCAGAGGTAACAGGAAGCAGGAAACAGGCCGCTGCATAGGTAAGTTGATCGCGCAACACCTTGATGCCCCAACCAGCAACAATACCACTCCCTCCCCAAGGCCAAATAAGGGCCATGAAACCCAAGCTGGCCCGAAGGGCAGGGTAAATGCTAAGCAGCAAAAACCCCTATGGAAATGGCATCCCGAAAGCACCAGGGAAGAGAACCCTGACACCCAAGGGTAGTACTCACAGGGCACTTAGGGAAGACTGCTCTAAGCACATGCAGCCTCTGTACACTTAATTACACCTGGCCACCACACCACGAACAGCAGAAGACACCACTAAGGCAAAACTCTGCCAGGAAACTGAGGCCAGAGTTGATGACCATCCCGGATCGCATTAACCAACAAACTGGAGTTGCTGGGTGGCCAGTGCGGGCAACCCAGCAACTCCCCACCCCGAGGCGGGGAGGGCTGTGCGGACGAGTGGCGCAATGGCAGGGTGTGACGTTTGCTTGTTTCTTTGGGAATTGAGGAAGTTTTGCCTCTCTGTTCTGTTTTTGGTTGCAATTTTCTTACCATATGGGCCTGTTTTGTTATGCCTACCTTTCTGGATACCTAACCCTGGTCAGTGGCTGATAAGGAAAACCCCCAACCACAGGGAAGTTTTCCAGAGGGACATTGCTCCCTGTGACTCTCTGAGGGGGGGATCAGGGTTTGACTCGTGATCCCTGGTAGGCTGAACTCCATTGACTAATGCCCTCATCTAAGGGATTGCATATTAGCCCGACAGCTCCAGGAAGCCGGAGGGGCTCCCCGCAGAAAACATAGGAAAAATTAGACAAGATTCATGCTAGAATCATTGATCTCACCCTTTCTGTCATATTCAATAATATATGATAAATGAGTAAACTGTTAACACAGTCTGAGATATCAATGGTGATCATTCATGCAAAATCAAACCATATATAAACACAAGAGGACACCATTAAAAATTTTGTCATTATATAAATATAAACAAGGCTAATGGACTGCTAATAAGCCATAATTGAATAATGAAAATGCAATACTCCACCCAATATTAGCTAACAATATACCCTATGTCTGGTATGCTCTCCTCTCGCACTAAATCCTCCAGTTTTGGGGCAGAGCTTGCTTGAGCATATCGCTGTTGCATGTGTCGACGTAACGAGGCCAGGAGATTCTCCACGCGCTCCCACCGCTGGTCTAGCCCCCACAAGTGCTCTCTTTCTGCTTCTGTGGCTTCTGTTTCTGTTCCCATTGATGTTTTGCTTTCATATTTCTGAAGTGAAAACAAAGCGGTCAAATTTTAGCTCTTCATGAAGCTACTTAGTATCTTCTCACTAGGAGATACTAAGATACAGGGTAAGATAGACTAAGATGTTATGCAGTATATCCTATAATAAATGGGTCATAACCAATGAACTCCCAATATGGTACTAAAATGCTGTGTAATAGAAGTTTATAAATAAATTCTTGTTCTGGCAAAAGAAACTACAGTGTATCCACTTTTTAGAGTTAATTTATTCTACTGTTTCTTAAGACAAGATCAAGTTGTGTCTATAGGCCAAGGGGCGTGCATGGTTCAGCTCTGAATACTGACAGTTATGTAGTCTCCTTCCTGGCATCAAGTGATAACATTTGCCAGATGCACACAGTGCTTCTTGAGATGATGATTTCGGGGCTTTAGTGTCCCCGCGGCCCGGTCCTCGACCAGGCCTTCACCCCCAGGAAGCAGCCCGTGACAGCTGACTAACACCCAGATACCTATTTTACTGCTAGGTAACAGGGGCATAGGGTGAAAGAAACTCTGCCCATTGTTTCTCGCCAGTGCCTGGGATCGAACCTGGGACCACAGGATCATAAGTCCAGCGTGCTGTTCGCTCGGCCGACCGGCTCCAAGACAGTGCTGGAAGCTGGCTAAAGACACTCTCCATTTCATTCACCTGGGCTCCAGGAGACTTGAACCGTGGACCTCACACGTGTGGGGCCCAAACTTTATCAATCCGGCTATTGAGTAGTCTTTTGATTTGGAGATGTTTATTTCACGGAAGTGTGGATGACAATTTATAAAGGGGCTCCGTTATTGTTTTAATGCAGGGTCCATCTACATACTGTATATTACAGTTGTGTTGGAGTAAAGATTTTCCATCGTGGAGGTGAATGTTGCTACAATTTTAAGTATCACAAAATTATGATTTATGTTAACTCAAATACTTTAAGTACAAATGTTTTCAGGAGATTGAATATATATTGTAATGCCTTCATATGTGTTATGATCCAGTTACCTCTAATTGAAGAAGTAACTGAATAGTAACGTAATTAGAAGCAAGATGATAGCCATTAAACCTTCTAATCCATTAAGATGAAATAAGGATGCTAGGTTCATGTCTTGCATTGTTGTCTGTCATTATATATGAAGGTGGAGAGTATTAATGATGTATCACTGTATGTAATGTCTTGTAATCATACTTTTGTATGGATATATGTGAGGCCGAGCAAGACCGCCATTTTTTGAAGTGGCTTCTGAACCTGTGGGGCCAGAGCCTGAGGCAAGAGGCAGGATGTGTAGTCAAGGTAGGAACTTTGCCACAGGAACCACAGGATAGCCACAGGAACAACCATGGACATCTTCAAGAGGAAACTAGATTGTTTCCTTCAAGGAGTGCCGGACCAACCGGGCTGTGGTGGGTATGTGGGCCTGCGGGCCGCTCCAAGCAATTGCCTGGTGGACCAAACTCACAAGTCAAGTCTGGCCTCAGGCCGGGCTTGGGGAGTAGAAGAACTCCCAGAACCCCATCAACCAGGTATCAAGGTATACCAACCCTGGCGAATGAGTGAGGGAAATTGAGTTTCGCATGTTGATTTTCTTGGCCCAAAGTCGGTTGTAGATCTCTGGGATATGTGTGTGAATGCTGTTCAGTCCAAGTAGGTTTTTACCCTCTTGGGGGAATCTGTTTTAGTCACTTTCACATGTGGTGGACCATGCTGTCTGTTGCCATTCAGTTGTCATTACTGTGTCAGTTACAGTAATTCATGTGTACCTGTTGTATTCAGTTAGAAGCTTCCAGTATGTAATTGTTTATTCATATACCCATCACCTGTGAGGGTATGCTCACTCCCTAATCTTTATTAGCAGTAATGATTACTCAAGTCTTGTGCATGTGGCAGGATGCAAGTTGGGCAAAGCCTACCATCCGTCAACGTAGAAATCATATGTCTAGATATGGTGTAATTAATTGATGCTGCTTCATTTACCTCTTTTGTTTAACTATTAATTACCAGCATTGTGGTATTTAGCATTCTTAAGTAAATGAAGCAGGGCATTTAGAGTTTAGTAGAAATAGCTTAGTAGCACAAAATACTAGGCGTACGAGTCTGAACGCATGGCGTACAATTACAGGCCAGCACGCTTTAAGCGCGTGGGTTTGAATCAGTTGGATCTAGAGCAGCATGGTTATCTTAAAGTTATCTTGAGATGATTTCAGGGCTTACCGTCCCCTCGGCCTGGTCCTCGAATAGGCTTCCTATTTGTTACACCCCCCAAGGAAGCAGCCCATAGCAGCTATCTAACTCCCAGGTACCTATTTACTGCTAGGTAACAGGGGCATCAGGGTGAAAGAAACATTTTGCCCATTTGTCTCCACTTCCACTGGGGATCGAATCCAGAACCTCAGGACTACAAAACCGAAGCACTGTCCACTCAGCTGTCAGACCTCTGCTGATGGAGTGAGGAGATGGGCATGTAATCTCTGAGAGGGGCGGCTCATGCTTAAGTTAAGTCTCATAGTTTTAGTCTCGCAACAGAGAATAGTAGGTTGCATTCATTTGTGCTTAACCCTTAACATGCTCGGAGTTTAACCCTCAAACCGCTAGGGGCCCAAATGGAATTCACACCCACAGGCGCAACAAAAAAAAAAATTCCAAAAAATTCTTTCGTCTTATAGAAGTGTTCATTTTTGTTCCCTGATCACGGAAAAAATAACAAAAAAATCGTAGGTGGCATATTTTAGCCGCAATAGGGTAGGGAAGTGTGGCAAAAAAGGGGCGGTGGCAGAGCCTTCGCCAGATGAGGTCTACTCCGCCCGAGCTGTCAGACGGCAGTTGCCACAAATATATTATTACCTATTATTTCAATGTCTCTGATTGATTTTTTCTTAGTTTTTTTGCAGTAATATTATTCCATACAGTGAATTGTGGTATATTTATAATATAAAATGTGTGAACCATCGCTGTACTCAAAATTATGGTGTGCATATTAGTGATTCAATTATTATGTTCATAAAACAATAAACAAATAGTTTTGCTGTTGTTACACTATATACACAGGTTATATATAAGTATTTGCATGTTTTGTACACCATAACGAACTACTAAGTTGGTCTTGTGAGTCAAAAAGCAACGAGGAGTGACCGCCAAACACCAGCGAGCCACTCACTCCCTCGACACCACCTCACTCACCCTCATTCACCTCCTACAATACTCTTTCTGTATTTATTCACTATACACAGACGTTATATATACGTATTTACATGTTTTGTTCACCATAACTGTACATCTAAGCTTGTATGGTGAGTAAAGGCCACAAAGACGTAGCTACTCACACAGTCAGCTGATCGGCGGCCGCCCTCAAGGCCAGACGCACTAATATTTGTCCTTCAACAATACTGTTTGTGGTGTTATTACGCTATATACACATATTATATATAAGTATCTACCTGTTTTATTCACTATACCTGAACAAATAAGCTGGTATGGTGCCCAAAGACTATTGTGGTCACCAGTAAACAACATGATAAGTCGTGCAGACGACGCCACCGCCCTCACCAAAATGGCGGCTCCCAACCTACTCCTCTTGCTGTTTATACCCTATATACACACGTTATATATAAGTATCTACATTTGTGTTCACCATATCGAACCACTAAGCTGGTATGGTGAGTGCAGTCAATAAATGGTGGCCACACACAGTCAGAAGACGACGCCACAACCCTCCCTCGCACAGCCTTACGCCTCCCTCCATGGAGCACAGCGCTAAATATCAGCACAATCCTGCTATTATCAGAATCCTGGTCAGTTTTATCACAGTCAGGGGGCTTCAGTAATACTCTCACTGCTAAATAATAGCAGTATCATATATATTATGGTATTTGTAGGCGATGCTGTGGTCACAAGCTGAACAGCGGTGCTGTGAGCTCGTGCTGCGTGCGCCAGCCTTGGTGGCTTGCTCAATACTGACGCTCTCACACCCAAGAATGTTGGCCTGGATTTTTTTTCTAGGTGGCATCTGGCAACTATCGGTCGTGGCTGTACTATAGCTGCCCCTATCCCAGGCGGGGAGTTTAAATTATAGCGCTAGACACGAAATCATTTATATATGATATGCGCGGTTTGAGGGTTAATATCCTGTCATCCCCACAGGCGCATGTCATTTTGAAAAAAAAAAAATATATTTTTTCTTCCTAACCTGTTAATTTGTGTTCACTGATCACGGGAAAAATAATAAAAAAATCGTAAGTGGCATATATTGCCCGCTATAGGGCGGGGAAGTCTGGCAAATTATAGGCGCTGTCTCAGCATGCGTTCCAGGCGGTCTGTTGCTCGCCAGCTGTCAGGCCGGAGTTGCCACAAAGAGATAATTACCTAATAATTTCAATGTCTCTGATTGATTTTTCATAGTTTTTTTGCTGTAATATTATTCAATAGTGTGTAGTTTGATATATTTATATAATAAAATGAGTGAATCATTGCCGTACTCAAAAATATGGTGTGCATATTGTTGATTCAATTATGTTCATCAATCAGTGAACAAATACTTTGTTGGTTATTACACTATAAGCACAGGTTATATATAAGTATCTGCATGTTTTGTTCACTATAACGAACCACTAAGTAGCTATTATGAGTCAAAAAGTAACGAGGAGTGACCACCGTGTACTAGCCAGCCACTCCCGCCCTCCCTCCAGTCATCTGACTCACCCACATTCTCCTCCCACAATAATGTTTTTGCTATAATTCACTATATACAGACGTTATATATAAGTATCTACATGTTTTGTTCACCATAACTGTACATCTAAGCTTGTATGGTGAGTAAAGGCACAAAGACGTAGGACCTCACACAGTCAGCTGATGGCTGCCGCCCTCAAGGCCAGACGCACTAATATTTCTCCTCCAACAATACTGTGTGGTGTTATTACGCTACATATCTTATATACAGACATTATATATAGGTATTTACATGTTTTGTTCACCATAACTGTACATCTAAGCTTGTATGGTGAGTAAAGGCACAAAGACGTAGGACCTCACACAGTCAGCTGATGGCTGCCGCCCTCAAGGCCAGACGCACTAATATTTCTCCTCCAACAATACTGTGTGGTGTTATTACGCTATATACACACATTATATATAAATATCTACCTGTTTTATTCACCATACTTGTACAAATAAACTGGTATGGTGCCCAAAGACCATCGTGGTAACCAGTAAACAACACCGTCGTCTGCACGGTGGTGTCGTGCAGACGACGCCACCGCCCTCACCAAAATGGCGGCTCCAAACCTTCTCTTGCTGTTTATACCCTCTATACACACGTTATATATAAGTATCTACATTTGTGTTCACCATAGCGAACCACTAAGCTGGTATGCTGAGTGCAGTCAATAAAAGGTGGCCACACACAGTCAGAAGACATCGCCACCACCCTCCCTCCCACAGCATTACTCCTCCCTCCATGGCGCACAGCGCTAAATATCACCACAATCCTGCTATTATCAGAACCCTGGTCAGTTTTATCACAGTCAGGGGTCTTCTGTAATAATATCATCGCTACATAATAGCATGAACAAGTATATTTTGGCATTTTTAGGCGATGCTGTGGTCACAAGCTGAACAGCAGTGCTGTTAGCTCATGCTGCGTGCGTCAGGCTTGGTTGCTCATTCAATACTAAGGCCAATAACACCCGGAAGTTTGGCCCACGAGTTTTTTTTTAAAATGGCATCTGTTTACAAGAGCCCTGATGAAGGTGTGGTGAACCCTGTGTATCCGCGGGCCGTTTAAATCTTGCGTAGTACTCCAACACATCATATGACGTGATGCGCAGTTGACTGGAACAACGTCCAACACATCATATGACGTGATGCGCACTTTAAGGGTTAACTAGTGGAGAGAATTTTGCAATTCTTTGATACTTTGTGTTCACCTGATTTGGCCTTTATACTGGACTGGTCACATGTTCATAAGGAGTGTATGTTTGAAAATACTTGCATGACGGATTTGTAAATAACATTGGAATTAATTGAGTTTTCACTTTGAATTATCCTTCCCACCGTCTTCTGTGCCCTGCAGTAGGATGCACCCAGTTAACTCGATCCTATATTAATGACACGAAACAACATACTTGCTAATTTTAAGGGGATTTTCCAACAATGAATGAGTTTAATTTTAGTCATTATTCCTTTAGAATGCAAAATAAACAAACAATTTATTGAACAATGTGTGGAGTAAAAATACAATTATATTAAGTTATACTGTTGTGGATTCTGTATTAACCACTTAACTGCGCTAACCGAGTATTCTCAGTCGGTGGGAAACTGGGCCAACCGAGAAAACTCTTTTTGATTTTTTCGTACCCATTCTAAATGTGTCCGTGGTTGGTTGTGTACGAAATGGACTCTTAGGATATCCAGTGAGAGACAGCCATCTTGGAAAAATTCCCATAATGCCCTAGGGCTGCTGGCTGGGTTAGTACTGAGTGAGCAACCATGGGTGGCACATGCGCCTCTGGCTCCCAAACACCAGTCCGACGCTGTGTTGAAAGATTGCTCTCTGTTGGTGAAATTCAAACCTTATTGTTTGAAGAACATAAGGGTCATAATATTGGTGAAGTTAGGCACAATAAGGACCTAACACAAAGGTCGGATACAAATACAGCGAGCGTATTCAGTTGGAGCTCTGAGCGCCACCCTTGCCCACCTATGCTATCTCCAATTTATATAGATGATACATAGATGAATCGTTTTCTGCACTCAATGATGATGCATCTGATACAAGTAGCATAGATGAACAGTGTTAGCGGCTTCCATTGGGGTGTTTTCCATAGATATTTTCAAGAATAGCTGAATCTCTTCTTGACTGACAGACACTCTTTGAGGCTGGCTGAATCTCTTCCAGAATGCCAGAATCTCTTCCCAACTGATGGACACTCTTTGAGGCTGACTGAATCTCTTCCAGTGTTGGACCTTATACAGTGGCACCTCGACATACAATTGCCCCTACTTATGATAATTTCAAGTTACGATGTAAATTTCATCGAAAAATGCGACTCGACATCCGATGGTGTCGTCGACTTCCGATATTTGTTGGTACACGTTCGGGTCGATCGAGCGCGTGGTTCCCAGTCACGCGGCCGACCAGCCTCAGTTTACTACAGCTGCTCGCTTAGTGACGATCGCGCCTATAAGAAATTCCGCTTTTGTGGTGATTTTTGCATTTTGAACATTAAAGTAATTATTATATAACACGCCATGAGTCCCAGGAAAGTCAGTGGTAAGGCTCAACATATGAAAACCCATGTAAGGATGACCATAGAGCAGAAACAAGAGTACAGAATGTCTCTTCCTCAACAATTAAGAAAATGTGTGCAGCATGGGAAGAATTGCAAACTTTTGCTGAAACGACTCACCCAAATCAGGCTGCAGTAGGTCGTTGCTTTAACCAATTCAATGACACTCTGATGCATCATTACAGACAAATGTTAAAATGAAGGGAAAAACAAATGTCTCTTGACAAATTTGTAGTGAGACAAACAAGCACTGAACCACAACCAGGTCCTAGTGGTATTCAGGCAAAACGTAGGAGAGAGAGTACCCCAGAGAAAACATCACTGCTTGATGTGATAATGGAAGGGAACTCCCCTTCCAAACAGGAACTCTCTTCCTTCCCCCTCATCACCATCTTCCATACACCATCAAGAGCCCTCCATAAAGGTAAGAGACACTTTGGTACTGTATTGTAGTTAGAAAAAAAACATTGTATTCAGTATAAAATGTATTTGTATATTAATATTTTGGAGGGTGGGGAACGGATTAATTCAATTCCCTTTATTTCTTATAGAAAAATCGTTTCGACTTACGATATTTCGACTTACGATCCGTCTCTGGGAACGGATTAGCATCATAAGTCGAGGCCCCATTGTAAAGTGATCTTTTCAAGACTACCTTACAAATTGATCTTTTCCTATAATCTTTTCAAGACTTCCTTACGCTTTTCAAGCTTGGCTATATACCACCTACAGATTCTAACGCTAAGGGCGTATGTGAGTGCGTTATTTGCAAGCACACAGAACGAAGAAGCAGGAAGCAAAAATCTATCTGTACCTGGTGCAACAGGAGCAAAGTCACGCTGTGTACCATGGACTACTTCGTTGATTATTACTCACTTCCGATGTACTGAGTGTGTAATACAGTGTGTTACTGTGTAAATAGTGTGTGAAACTGCACATATTGTAATTTTAATGAATTTTTAACAAGTAATATTGAGACAATAAACATTTACTGTGGACACATTACTGACACATGTATCACAGTTCCATGGAACATTATGAACATTCTACTGTATACATATTGTAAAGGACACAAATATGCATCATATACAATAAAAACAAAAAACAAATAAAACTGCATTGGAAATACATAGAACAAATAATTGAAAATATATTTGTGGTAGCACCCGGTGCTTGAATGGCCCGCTCGACCGTGTCTGGGTATGCCACGCATGGGCGACCAGCCCCTGATGGCTGTGAGAGTAGCATATATACTATCACAGGAAAAAGAGTAGACCTCAGGATGGCTGGACTTAATGACACCTGTGGATGACCTGAGAAATACAAGACTTGGAGCAGGGAATCAAGAAAGAAGGATTAACCCTCAAAGCAACCACCAAGACAGAATTGGTGGCACGAAGGTACTGCAGTGGCGAAGAGCACCACCGGGCAGACCACATGATGCAACCCCCAGCTGAACTAACAAAGCAACAAAGATCAAAGGGCCCTTCCAGAAGCCTGCCAACTCATACTTCACCACAGGTGAGGAGGGGCCTCCAAGGGAGTGAACCCCCCGAACACCCCAGGAAAGAGAATCCTGAAGTGCAAGGGCAACACTAGGAAGCACACAGGAAGGAAAACCATGAACACATTTAGCTCCAAGCACTCTAATGATCATGATCATGTTACACTGAACAGTGTAAAGAAAAGCTAACAATGGTAAGAAACCACCACTTAGCTGAAGCAGGAGACCGAAGCCCAAGCAGAAAGAGGTGACCCGATACACTACACACATCAGCACAGAACTGAGGACAGTATCACAAGCTAACTGCAAGCTACCTCCCCCTAACAAATGGAGAAGGTGAGGCAAATGAGCTACCTTACCTTACCTTGAGGTTACCGTGAGGTGATTTCGGGGCTTAGCGACACCGCGGCCTGGTCGTCGACCAGGCCTCCGCGTTGCTAGACTGGTCACTAGGGCTAGTTTGAAACTCTTCAATAATTTGTTTACATTGTTGGGGAGTTCTTTTGGCAGTTCATGAGACTACGACCTCTACTACAGCCAGCTGTGGATTGTTTTGTCTCCGACTTTCTGGGTGCCTTCCCCGGTGGCGGCATAAAGAAAAAAATAAATAAATATATAATTGGCACTGATCCCTGTGCTTCTGTGAAGGGGGCCAGGTTCTGCCTCTTGGTCCCCAGTAGGCCAACAAAACTCTGCATCTGATGTGACCCAGTAGATGTATATTATCAGTGATAGTAACTTCAGGGAGCCACAAGAGTTTCCACCCAGAAAATCTTTATTCCACATTATCCATAATTACTGACTGTCAATGGACTCACCTCTAATGTTTTACGCAAGACTTCTGACTCGATGGCGGGAACAAGTCTAAGGCCCCTGAATTCGGGAACATCCTCAGCCCGCAACTGAAGGACCCGTAGTCGTACATTGCTGTCCAGATCTGCTTCTGTGCAGAATTCTCCCTCAAAGTTGTCTATTTCAAAGTAATTGGTCGATTTGGATTTACCCTCGGCAGCTTTCTGCAGAGGAATTAAAAATTACTCTTTCCAAAAGAAAACCTATCTAAAAAAACAATAACTACTGCAACACAGCATGAACCAATATAAGACAAAACTTAACATGGTTGAGTTTGCTCACTTGCATCATCTACATGACAGAATGAACACAATCATGTGAAATGTATAGGGCATTTAATGAGTTGTTATGCACTGACTTAAACATTAATCAATATTTTTAACATATCCTGTTTAATAAACAGAAAATCTATATACTGATGTCATGTACAGTAATACTATATATAATGCCTCGTTAACTCTTTTGAGCTCAAAGTTTTTAACCCAAGAATTAAAGACTTTATAAGGAGTACTTGCAACATTTCTCAACAAAATTATGTATGTTAGTTATGCTATCATAAATGTGCAGCAGTCGTCACTTTTAAAGACTCCTTCCAAGTCTTTTGTTTCGGTTTTGCTTCTTATATAGGCATAGAAAGACTTTGGATCTTATTTAAGGTTTTGGGCAAGTTTTCTTTTGTAGTTTTCTTTGGCTGATCTAATTTGCTGGGTGGCTGATGTACGAGGCTGTGACTCATACATCAGGCTGCAAGCAGCAGTATGGAACAGCCTGGTTGATCAGAGCAGCAACCAGGAGGCTGGCGAGAGGCCGGGCCGCAGGGATACCAATCCTCGGAATCTTCAACAGGTAATCACACATAACCCGTGAGGGATTTCCAAGGGATCAAAGGTTAAACCAAGCAGGACACCCAGGCACTAGGGACCCTATGCTGAACCTACAAGTAAGCCAACATAGCCTGGGTTACTCAGCTGTGAGGGCCGACCTCAGTGCCACCAGCGAGCCCCACCAGGCCAACACTTGCTTCTGACCTGAGCCAAGACAAAGGGTCCACAAGACCCCTGACTTGTCCAAGGCGAGGGCCATCCCGAGCAAGACAGACCTCAAAGAAAATGAACTCACAAACACACCAGAGAAGAAAACTACCAGTACAGTGTCAATGCTCGGGAGCACATATGGGAGGGAAGCCCTGAGCACGTGCACCACAGGGCTGCATGTGCTCTGGGCTACCTGCACAGCACAGTGGTTAATGGCATAATCATTTACACAGTAAAACAGAAGTTGTTAGCTAACAAAGCTCAATTGGTTCTTACCTTTAAATGATTCACAAGCGAAGCATTGCTTGGGTCATTTGGGTCAATGCGAGCATTTTTTAGCCATTTTTTAATGATAGCTGGGTCAGCTCGGGGATGAAGGTGAGACTGAAAAATATATAATAAATTAATTTGGGAATATCATTATGCAGGGCAAAAGAATTTCTAAATACTGTATGTGCCTTAATTTTTAACTAAATTTACTTGAACTATAATATATATACATGTCTAAAGAGACTTAAATGTGGTTTTACTTCTCTTATTTACCCGCCCCCAGATATATCACAGAAGATAAAGGGTTGTCCCAACCTGTGAGAGGAGAGTAGAGATGAGACAGTTTCTCCTTTACAGTGAGATACTATACTATATATTCTTAGCCTCTGACAATTATGGCACGAGTAGCAAGGATTTCTCTGGGATAAATTTTCCCTGCTTACTTTTAAAGGCGAGTGGCTAGACAGAGCTGCTGGGGAGGGTCCGGCAGGTGCTAAAATTTCTCCCTCTTCTCCCCGAGCCCAGCCAAGGCGGTAACGAATCATTCCACACGTAAGGGACGACCCATATTCAGATTCTAGGAGACCACATCCAACGCCTTCATGATTGTGGCTCACTACCTGTAGTGGGGAAAACAAACTCCCTAATATCAAACTGAAACTGCCCTAAACAAACTCCCTAATATCAAACTGAAACTGCACTAAACAAACTCCCTAATATCAAACTGAAACTGCACTAAACAAACTCGCTAATATCAAACTGAAACTGCCCTAAACAAACTCGCTAATATCAAACTGAAACTGCCCTAAGCAAACTCCCTAATATCAAACTGAAACTGCCCTAAACAAACTCCACTCAAACTGAAATGTTATTATATTTAAGGATAAATTTGCTGCCTTCATATCTTAAATTATCAGGCACCTTGCAGTGTATAATGCATTACAGTATTGTAAAACCTCCTAAAGACCCTATTAGACTAGTTTTCAGAAAGTACAGTGAATGCATTATAACATATTAAAGATCAACTTGTTAACTTTCTTGAGAATAGCAACAGTAGGAGAACATGTCTTTCACTTCCATTTTGCAGCAGAATATTAATGCACTAACAAAATGTAGGAATAAAACCTTTCTTCATAATATATTAAAAAGATATCAGGCACTGGTTCGCAAGTAACTGAAGCCAAAAAACCAGCGTTGAATGTAATGAAACGCCATTTTCTGGGCGAGTCCCGGAGGCTCCCCGGAGCTATCCAGGCAGCTATGGATACCCTAACTATTTTGCATCAGACAATGTGGGTGGAGTTCTAGGCCTACCGGGGACCACGAGCCAGAACCTGGCCCCCTCACAGAGGCATGAGGAGCAATGGCCCATAAAAATGCACATGTGATTTGGAGCATTCTATATATGCCATCGATTGGGACAGGCACCCAGAAAGGTAAGCACCACAAAACAAACCCCTATTCTGGTTAAAACAACGAAAATCACCAACGAGTGGACAGAACTCCCCAAAAGAAAAACGAGCAAAGAACCATGATGTCACACAAGCCGCGCCGTATACACACTCCATACACAGTTTCAAGTACAGATATGATAGAGCCCAATAGGCTCAGGAACCTGTACACCTGTTGATTGACGGTTGAGAGGCGGGACCAAAGAGCCAGAGCTCAACCCCCGCAAGCACAACTAGGTGAGTGCATGTCTGCGCAGCTCTCCCCCGTCCCTGGGAGGGGGGAAGGGGGAGCCCCAGACCCTCGCGCCGGCGAGCCACACCTCAGTTCTGAGGATGGATATGAAAAATGTGAAAAGACCACCGACCGGAGGGAGGGAGGGAGGGTTGCCGGGGAGCCTCCGGGACTCACCTAGAAAATGGCGTTTCATTACATTCAACGCTGGTTTTCTGGGGGAGCCCCTACGGCTCCCAAAGCTACTTCACCAAAGACGAAAACAGAGGGACGCATCCGGGACGCGGTCGTCGCTCACACCACAAAGTCGAGATAACAGGGTGCAGCAGCCGATCCAAGGTGACACAGGCCCGACTAGGCCCAGGAACATACATGAGGGAGCGCGCAGCCAGGACCCAGCGCGACCACCAAAACAAACTAGTGCCTGAATGTAAGTTCAAGACATGCCACCAAGACGGCAGCAAGCGCAGCAAGCCTACGAACGTCAAGGGCACGGGGAGAGACCGCAGGCAGGCTAGATAGAAGGAAGGGAAACCGGATCGATCCCAAAGCACAGCCCCGGCCACAGAGATCGCGGCACGCAAAGAACGGCAGACACAACCGGACACAAGAACAACACCCCGGTCAACCAACCAACAGCAACACCCCCAGGAACCCCCTCCGGAAAGAGCTGTCGCAATCCCACCAGAAAAGAAGATACAGCCACAAATGAACAAACCGAACACCAGAACCCTAAGAAGGAGAACCACTGACAAAAACCGGAACTGAACGGGCCACAGCAAATCAAGGGGAAGAAAGAAAAGAGCACCCTGCCCAAGAGCATGATGTTACAAGTGGAGCAGAAGCAGGCCGGAGGCGAACAATGCTCGAGACAACGCGTGAACGGTGCAGAAGGAACAACAAAACCGGGACAATCCGAAGCGGCTCCGCCAATGCCGCACGAGACAGGGCGACGGTATGCGGCCAGATGACACCCTTGAACTACCACGAGAAAAGAACAAGACCACGACAAGAAAGATCGCAGTACACCTATGAGGAGACAAAAAGAAAAGGAAGGACCGAAAGAAAACCCCATACCGACGCCGAGACGAAGCACGCAGGTGGGACACATTCAAGAAGCCACCTGATCACCAAACAGATGGTGAGACATTCAAGTCAAAACGACCAGACTAGATGACTCGAGAAGGCCGAACCAGCCCCATCACAGAGTGGACTGACCATGCAAGAGAGCGGAGCATGGGAAAACCCCAGGGTGCAGACACCAATTAAGCTGCGCCGGAAGCAAGGCTGTCAAAGAACCAAAAAGAACGTCCGCCGGGGAACCAGGAACCCCAACAAAACCCGGCAAGCCGGGAAAGAACCAACCTGGCCGAGCAGACACGCCCTGACTGGGAGGCACATTCCCCCCTGGGACCCTGGAAGGAACAAAAAAAAAAACCTGCCCCAACAAAAGGAACTGTAGGGGTAGGGGTGGGTGATCAAAAGCAATAGACACCAGCAGACCGCCATCTTATGCCAAATACTGTCGCCTCGTATTGTGCAGGCTGGCTTCAGATTGCTCTCGGTATTGATGTTACTTTTGCACCATTTCGCAAGCTGTCTCGTGCGTTGTTTCACCTCTGGCCTGCTCATGCACCATCTGAGCCGTCCTCAGATGGTGCATGAGCAGGCCAGCAATGCTTCCAACGACACGGCGGTTTCTATAGGCCATTGCTCCTCGTGCCTCTTCTGAGGGGGCCAGGTTCTGGCTCATGATCCCCGGTAGGCCCATAGAACTCAATACACATGACTGATGCCAAAGTCTGACATTAGCATATCAGCCTGGATAGCTCTGGGGAGCCTCCGGATCTCACCCAGAAAATTGCGTTTCATTACATTCAACGCTGATTTTCTGTGGGGAGCCCCTAAGGGTCCCTGGAGCTTATCGGGCTAATGTATGTTATATTAGACCAGGACATTAGCTATTTAGTTCCAAGCCCATTTGCCGGCCTAGAGTAACAATTTCCTCAACAATAGGCACATCATTTACAAGCTCAAACCCCTCAAAGTCTAGTTCTCTCACACATTCAGGCCACAATTTTCTCCAGCCAGAGATCAGAGTTCTTTGAGTCACTTCTTGCCAGGCTTTTATCAGCGAGTTTTAAAGAACTACAAATGTTAAAATGGTGTTTCCAGAACTCTTTGAGGGTGAGGTTTGTGGCTTCAGTCACTTCAAAACATTTCCGGAGAAGTGCCCTTTCATAAAGTTTCTTAAAATTCGCTATGCTTTTCTGGCCCATAGGTTGAATTAGAGGAGTTGTGTTAGGAGGAAAGAACTTTACTGTAAGAAATTTATTGTATCTGTGCAACAATTCATCTTCCAAGCCTGGAGGATGAGCAGGAGCATTGTCGAGGAGAAGCAGAGCCTTGAGTGACAAATGTTTCTCCTGCAGATATTTTTCTATGGCAGGGCACACCACTTCTTTTACTCACTCCGAAAAAAATCCCAGTCACCCATGCCTTATTATTAGCCCTCCACATCACACACATTTGATTTTTCTGCACTTTATAATGTTTGAAAACCCTTGGATTTTCAGAATGATACACTAGCAAGGGTTTAATTTTCAAATCGCCACTCGCATTTGAACACAGCACAAGCAAAAAACCAGCGTTGAATGTAATGAAACGCCATTTTCTGGGTGAGTCCCGGAGGCTCACCGGAGCTATCCAGGCTGAATGGATATGTATAACTTTCTGGCATCAGTCAAAGTGCTAGGAGTTCTTGCCTACCGGAGACCACGAGCCAGAACCTGGCCCCCTCAGAGAGGCACGAGGAGCAATGGCCTATAGAAACCCCTTTGTGATTGGAAGCATTCTATGTCTGCCATCGACCGGGACAGGCACCCAGAAAGGTAGGCGCCCCAAAACAAACCCCTATTCTGGTGAAATTATTGCTACCGAAAGCCGAACGAGTGGACAAAACTCCCCAAACAAAATTATCAAACTAGCATGACGTCATCACGTCGCCGCGCCACTGTCTGCGTAACCCCCCCCCCCTCCCCGAGAGGGGGAAAGGGGAGCCCCAGACCCTCCACGCCGGCGATCCAACTGGCAGTTCTTAGGCTGGATGTCAAATATGTGAAAAACACCGCCGACCGGAGGGAGGGCAGGATGCCGAGGAGCCTCCGGGACTCACCCAGAAAATGGCGTTTCATTACATTCAACGCTGGTTTTCTGGGGGGAGCCCCGTTGGCTCCCCGGAGCTACCTCCCCAAAGATAAGTAAAACAGGGAACCGGGAGGCGGATACCACACGTCCTAGATACCTGGTTGATTACCTGGTTGATGGGGTTCTGGGAGTTCTTCTACTCCCCAAGCCCGGCCCGAGGCCAGGCTTGACTTGTGAGAGTTTGGTCCACTAGGCTGTTGCTTGGAGTGGCCCGCAGGCCCACATACCCACCACAGCCCGGTTGGTCCGGCACTCCTTGGAGGAATAAATCTAGTTTCCTCTTGAAGATGTCCACGGTTGTTCCGGCACGGTCCACGGTTGTTCACGGTTGTTCCTAACTGAACAACCAAAACCAGAGACAAAACAAAGACCAAAACGAGAAGAAAAAGACCACCCAGGCCAACGACCAGGACGGCCCCAAAACTCAAGAGCAGGCCAGAGGGGAACAACGCCCAGGACAGCAAGTGTAATGGAGCAGAAGGAACCGCAACACTGAACGCAAGCAGGAGCGGCTCTGTCAGCACCACCCAACATGAGGTGACAGGATCATCCCAGACGACGGTCCCAGAACAACCTCGAAGGGAATACAAGCCAACCCTATCAAAGACCGAAGGACCTTTCGCAATGATAGGAAAACCACACACCGCCCCCGAGACGAAACACGCAGGTGGGAGACCAATAACAAACCCACCTGTGCCGACACAAACGACGAGAAACGAACACCACGATCGAAAGTCCAAACACGAATCTAAAAACAGCGACCCCGCTACCCAAAGGAACAACATAACCAGCTCCAGCAGGGAAGAATGAGACACGCATCCCCGAGGCATCCAAGAGGAGAACTACCGAGGACGAGAACCGCAGGAAAGCAAAAACGAAGCAGAAGGACCCAGACCCAAAGCGACCCCCACCCCCAAGTCCAGACCCCAACCACCAAAACGGGGCAGCCTCGGGGCATCCGGGGCCGCAAACCAAGAGCGTTGCAGCAACACACACCCAGCAAGCAACGCCGCAGCCGCCTGCACCCGAGTATCAAGACCAGTGGCTTGGGTGAAGGAAAGCGCATACCGACAACAATCATCGGACGACTCCGGGTCACAAGAACAAGGACCCAACAGGCAGCATGGCGGAGGCACAACCGGTGAGTGTCACCCTGAGACAAGGTGACAGATCAACCATCAAACTCGCAGGACGTGAGGGGGACTCCGGGGACATACCTAGAGGACCACAGAGCCCCCGTGGGGTTTCCCAGGGCCCTTAGCCTTTAGTACACGCTAGGGGAAGCCCAGGCAGGGTACTGAGAACCGGCGCCCAAATCTACCAACAAACTGCTAAAGCTGAACCCCCGGGGCGTGTCCACTCACGGGGGCCAAGCGAGGAGTACCGCCAACAGAAGAATTCAAAAGAAATTCACCTAGAACAGGAAAGGGGGACCATAGTAAAAGCAGACCCCCCACCAGGCAAAAACAAAAACAAAAGAAAAACCCCGCAAGAGGACAACGTACCCAGGCAGAACAGAGCCGGCCGCTGTTAATGGTGAAAACTAGCTGTGCAGTACCCCAAGCCCCTACCAGTGACGAAAACTACCACCTACCCAGAGACAAACCAGGGCAACAAAAACCCCAGCCGACTCCAAGGGCGGCCCAGTACTGAGCAGTAAAGGACACAGCGGAGGCAGAACCCAAGGTGACTTGTGGAAGGTGGCCCCAAGCCCCAAGGGCAGTACTTACAGGGCACCTAGGGAAGATAGCTCTAGGCACATGCAGCCCGAGTACCATGGAATCTTACTCCTGGCTCACACCCTACCGGTAGAGACAGTCCACACCACAAGGCACAGAACTGAAACAAAAACCGGAGCCAGAGGCACTCGACCAGCCAGTAATACCATCAGCCAAGAACTGCTAGTTGGATCGTCGGCATGGAGGGTCTGGGGCTTCCCCTTCCCCCTCTCGGGGAGGGGGGGGGAAGGGTTGCAGACGGTGGCGCGGCGACGTGATGACGTCATGCTAGTTTGATAATTTTGTTTGGGGAGTTTTGTCCACTCGTTCGGCTTTCAGTAGCAATAATTTCACCAGAATAGGGGTTTGTTTTCGGGCGCCTACCTTTCTAGGTGCTTGTCCCGGTCGATGGCAGACATAGAATGGTTCCAATCACAAAGGGGTTTCTATAGGCCATTGCTCCTCGTGCCTCTCTGAGGGGGCCAGGTTCTGGCTCGTGGTCCCCGGTAGGCAAGAACTCCTAGCACTTTGACTGATGCCAGAAAGTTATACATATCCATTTCAGCCTGGATAGCTCCGGGGAGCCGATGGGGCTCCCCCCAGAAAACCTATTTTTCATAGGCTTGTATCTGGGCAATGCTTTTTCCTTCTTGGTAATGTATGTCCTTTTAGGCAATCTTTTTCAGAACAGTCCTGTTTCATCACAATTAAACACCTGTTGCAGTAGGTATCCCTCAGCCTCTGCAAACTCTTTAAATTCTTCAATAAATTTCTCAGCAGCTGGTTTGTCTGAGCTGGCAGCCTCCCCATGCCTCACAACACTATGAATATCACTTCTTTTTCTAAATTTCTCAAACCATCCCCTGCTTGCCTTAAAGTCTTTCTCTGCACTCGTTCCAGGGGTTTTCTTTACAAGGTCTTCGTGCAATACCCTGGCTTTCTCACAAATGATGGCCTCCGAATAACTATCACTTCTTGTTGTCACTATCACCGCTAACTCCTTGTTGTGTATTGAAATTAATAACAACTTTTCCACTTCCTCAAGTATTTGTGGTCTTTGTTTCCTGATTGTTGATACTCCTTTTACCACTTTGGCACTCATAATGTCCTTTTTCTTGGCAAGTATAGTGCATATCGTTGACGTGGCTTTGTTGTACTGCCTACAAAGTTCAATAACACGTGCACCATTTTCATGCTTCCGAATGATCTCTTGCTTTCCCTCTATTGTCATCCTCACATGCGATTTCTTGCCTTGAACCTTACCACTGGCTTTCTTGGGACCCATTGCAATGTATATTATAAAAACTTTTATGCTCAAATAGCAAAAACTCCGAAAATAAACGGTAAATCCTTGTGAAGAATTCAGGCGGGATAGTCACTGGGCACAAGACACTGGCAAACTGAGCGGTGATCGCCGTGCCACCACGCGCTAGGTCGGCCCGTATGTGTATCAACAAACTCGTATCCTGAGACAACCCTTGTAACCCGATACAAATTTTCCGAGCAAATCTTGCTCGTAAACCGAAAAACTTGTAACCAGGGAGCTCCTAAGCCGAGGTACCGCTGTACACACCAGTACATATTCCAGAGGTCCAGGGAAAATCATTCAAGCATCCACCTCGAGGGGTGAGACAGACCTGGGATAAAGTGGCCATCTGAAAGGAGGGGCAAGGAATGAACCAGTTCACCCATGAAAGATCGAGAATGAACCTGAGGTCTAGCGAATCCTGTTTCGGGACCTGAAGAGGTGTGGGAAACCCAACGAGGTAATGAAGTTGTTTTGATCATGCAGGAGGCCACCCACTCCAAAATGACCTGATGTGGGCGAGAAGAGGAAGCCAGCCTAGTTTCACTGCACTAAAGACATTTTTCACTCAGTATAGGTGAATTTTCATTTACAAATGCTTCCAGCCTTAGATGGGGACAAGGAAAGGACATATATCGGCTCTTGTTTATGGAAGACAATGGTTTTCATGGGATATTTAGCAGTGTCAAGAAGTCTTGTCAAGAAAAATTGTATAATTAAGGTTCCCTAAATTTTCCGACCTGGTATTAGTGCCAAAATAAATGGAAAGGAAATATTTTTTAATAATAAAAATAATTTTATAATATTTGCATTACTTGCAAATATTTGGTAACATAAATAATATTTGGTAACATGATTAAAATCATATATTGTAATTGCTACACCTTCTGGTATCATAGACTTCATTCAGAAAGATGGCACAAGAAACACAACTGACCTGGGTACCACTGAAGTCGACAGAGGTAAAAATATCTTTGCAGATATTGGTTCTGCTGGGAACTGGGAGGAATGCCGAGGCCACAAGAGTCTGTCTAAGACTTGCTCCCTCCATAACTTCCAGTGTAATGTGACGTGGCCAAGAAGACAGTGCCATTCTGTACGTCTGGCCAATGTGCATGGTGAAGTCATTTCCAAAACTTGCTGATGGTGTCTGCGTTACTAGTTTATTATTTATGAGCACCTAAGAAACAAATAAATGCTGCATTATAATTCACTTTGACATTAGGAATAAACAAAAATCATCCCAAATGATTATTTAAAAATAGAGCAAAGAGTGTAATGACAATAGTCTTTACTGATCAGACTAGACAATGTCAGGTCCCTGAGGAACTCCATTTTCCACCTCCACCTCAGTAGGTACTCTCCACCTACTGAGGACAAGATCCTATACCATAGGCCAGTGCTTCTTAACTGGGGTTCTGCACAACCCCAAGGTAACTAGGGGTTCTGTAAGAGATAGTGATAAATAGGCTAATGTGAGGGTAGGGATGAAATGAAAAGGTTAATCCTTATATAACTCATTACTAAAAGCTTGTGCACTTATGTTACTTTTAATTGAAAATACTTACAAGACAAATACAAATTATAACAAAACACCTCAACACATGAATAAACACTCAGTAATTGGCACAACTATTTTGAATTTGTGGGACTTTAACAAACCACGAGTGTGTGTCCATTACATTACATTAATGGACACAGGGAATGGGACACCGGAAAATGAAGTGTGGACGGAACCAAAGTTGAGTTGACCAACACCCCCAAATCTGAATCTCTAAACAACAAGTGGGCCAAATCCAGGGAATCTTGCCAGGCTTGTAACCTAGACTGTTGCAAAACAGAAAATATCAAATATAATGTGGTCACTGCCTGAAACCTCTGAAAATCTACAATGGGTAAGATGAATCACATGGGGGAACAAGACTCGCATGACTCGGGGGCCGAAGGTATCACCAACCCAACAGGCAGCATAGCGGAGACAGAACGTATGAATGTCACCAGGTGACATAGGCGACGAACAACCCTCAAAATTGCATAAAGTAAGAGCAGGCTTGGAAGAGGTATCCCTGGAACAACCAAGCCTGTGGGAGTTTTCCAGGGCCTGCAGGGTGAATGAGCCCTGCAGGAAGCCTTGGCACTAGGAATGCTATGCCAAAAAAAACCTGAATGGAACAGACAACCTTGGCCACCCCAGTGCCAACAGACAGGGCAAGTGGTCTACAGGTGGTTCAATCACACAATCACCCTAGGCACAGCCTAATAAGATGAATCAGAAGAATCTCCAAGCACAAAAGGGCAAAGTGACAGGAGTGACAATCAAAAAGGCCAAAGCCCCACCAGCCAAAAACATTCCCAACCTGAGGAAAGAGACAGCCAAAGACCACCAGGTTACCCAAAGGGCGAAGACCACCCCAAGCGAGGAAACCCTCCTAAAAGAAATGGGTCCAGAACACCCCAGGGAAGATAACCTTGACCATGCAAGGTTAGCACTTAAGGAGCGCACAGGGAAGAAAACCCTGAGTACATGCAGCTCCTAGCACACTACACTCCTGGTTCACGATACACAAACTTGTATAAGAACCGCCTCAAAGGCAAATACCAATAAAAAACAGGAGACTGGAGTCAGAGTGACTAGAATAGTGACCAGGCACATCAACAAAAGAACTGAAGGTGGAGCGGGTCGGCTGACCTAGTCTGCCTCCCTTCTCCCCACAAATGAGGAGGTGGGGATGTGGGGCAAACTAGCTTGTGCAAGTTTCAGGAAATTTTGGGTGTTTGTTTTCATAGTTGGGGGAGTTTTTTTTGGCCTTTTTTTAAGCTGCAATGATGGCAGATATGATTAATTTTACATTTAAAAGTGTTCATAGGCCACAGCTCCCTGAACCTCTCTGAGGGAGCCAGGTCTTGGCTCGTGGTCCCCGGTAGACCAATAAGAACTCTGTGATTGATGGTACCTGGTAGCATGGCACTGAATCAATGATAGTTTCAGAGAGCCTCAAAGCCCCCCCCCCCCCACATATAAAACAAACTGTTATTTTAACTAAGATAAAACCCTTTGCTTAATACAAATAAATGCTGGATTTTATAGACCAGTCATTACACTAATTTGGATCACATGCAAATGTATTTTTATAGTGCTTCAATCTTCATATTTCATACTTAACATGCAGATGGGGGAACCATCAATTCAGCCAACGCCTTGCCATAGATATAGTGATAAAGATGCATCAGAAAGACCAGATGCAAGGAGCAAAGGAGAAGTCTGAATCAGTGTGGTACGTCACCAGGCTGATCTTCTGAGAGTGAGATGAAGCCGAAAAAAAATGCTTGGGCTTGGACACCAAGTGAGCAGTGCCTCAAACCAAGGATATGCTGGCCAACAAGGAGCTAGAAGGACCATTTTTCCCTGGTAGGCCTCCAACCTGGCCAGGACCTTGAACCACAGGTGAACTAATGCACTATAGAAACTCCTACTCCAACCAGTGCGGCTGAAAGGCATTCATCAAGGAACGGAGACACAGAGCAGAAGGCTCTGCTGATACATTCTAAGCCGATGCAGAGAGATCCCCGTCAGGGCACCAGGATGTCTCTCAAAGCCACTGGAAGGAGGCAGCATCAATGGTCCACTCTGTAGAGATGGGAAGAAAGTGAGAGAGACCATCCACGGCAATGGTGGACACTCCCTGAACGTGAACCACAAGAATGTAGTAGATGAGCTACACGTAGCATCCATCTCCAAAGAGAAACAGACTGAAAGGAGTCGTCTCAGTTCAAGCAATGAACCACTAGGGAACAGTCCAAATGAAGCCAGAGCATAGAGCCCAGAGGAATCCGAATCCTCTTTACTGCATTCCACAATTCTGCAAACTCTCACACCATACTGTGTTCCCGATGAAATGAACCTGACCAACAACTCTGGGTGGCCTGGTGAGTGCTGGTCACGAAGCTCTTTTCCAGAGCTGACGTGTCAGTAAACACACTGCAGTAAAATGGTGTATCTATTGTACCTAGCTATTGTAATTCTTATATCCATTATACTCTCATTTAACTGATTTATCCTTACAACTCTGGCAGATCAGCTGTGACTCTCATAAATGAAGGTTGGTGTAATGTATTTTTTGTATTTGTCTCTTTGATATGGCCTTAGTTGGTTATGCCATTTGCCTATTATTATAAGGAACTGAAAGTGCATAAACTGAATATATTATTGAATATTATATGGCATGTCATTATTGCAGGATGTAACTGTATTGCAATTATTTGATCAATAAGACCACAAGTTTGGTAAAGCATTTAATTACTTCACACATCAAGCGATGGAGGAGGAAGAAGCCGAAGAACCAAACTCTGTGAAGTCCAAAGAGGAAGCCAGCAACACAGTAGCCAATGAAAAGCAATAGGGGCCCAAACCTAATGGTTGCAAAACAGGCATAACCACAGAAACCTGAAGCCACACTCTGCCCAGCAGGAAAACCATTTCAAAGTTCAGACAATGTTCAGGCTCCTGCACAAATGCTTGAGCAAAATCCAAGTCGCCAGGGGACTCCTCAACACCAGATAGCAGCGGTGCAGAACAATAGGAAAGCAGCCAGAACACAACTGCCAAAGGGAAAGTAATGCTGACTGAGAGTCCCACACGAGGCCCAGCCAGGTCTGTACATATAACAGAATCAGATGGGACTTCTGCCAGTTCACCAGGAACCCAAGACTATGTGAAAGAACCAGATCTCTGGCTAACAGACACATAGACTGACTGGTGGTACAAACCCACCAGTCATTGATGTATGCGAGAACACAAACCCCCAATAAACAAAGATGAGCCACAATGACCAGAACCAATCTGGTGAAAGCATAAGGAATCAGGTTCAAGCTGAAGTAAAGAACCCTAAAGTGGTAAGCTTGATGCCCCACAATGAAACTTAACCAATTTCTGGACCTCAGATGTATGGGGATGTGCGAATCAACATTCTTAACGTACAGGAAAAACATCCGGACCCCAGCCTCCAGCATGAGAAACTTGGGCCAGTGTTGTGTGGAAAGTGGGGCAGGGAATGAACACAATTAACCCTTCAAGGGACTGAGGAGGAAGGGGTGCTCTATCAAGTCCTGTTTTGAGACCAGAAGAAACATTGCACCCTGTGTTCAGATGGAGTTGTCTCCAGAGTACCAGAAGTTACTCACTCTGCAATGACCTGGAAGCAGCAAGGGAAAGAGGCCTGTTCCAAAGTTCTGGCTCCCCCAAGAGGGGAAAAGGACTTATGAACTCCACCAAAAGCCTTAAGAAACAACCAGCTAGGCACACAAATTGTGGGACCAAGCAGCAGTAAAACTGGGCGAGCTGCCCTCACCAACCCATGAAGGGGCAAACTGTGAAAGAGGCATCCCGAACCATGTCCAGTGGTGCCTTTCTGTAAGATGCGAGTGCGCCACCAACGAGCAGAAGAGAACCCAATAATGGGAGGCGCTTGCTACCCAGAATCTGGCTCCAACAATGGCTTACAATGACCAGCAGCCACGGTCATACAAGACCTTTTAAATAAAGGAAGGGAACACTGAGTGCATAACAAAGGGGGAAAAAGGATGGCAAGAGGCTACTGCTGAGGACAAAATCTATGCAACCAGATCCTTAGGAAAGAGGAGAGGTGGATAAAAGGGCCAAGGACCATGCTAAATCTAAAGACTGGGCAAACATAGCTTTCCAACACACAAGAAGGACAGAGTAAAACATGGCAACAGCCTCCTGGAGCATGGGAGCCTACAGCATTGGCAACACTGCTGAAGCTGCCAGAGTAAGCAACAAGGCACCTGCACCCAACCCTGAGCTGAGCGAATCAACATATTCCTGGAGCCTGTCAGAATAAGGCTCCACGAGAGCAAGAAAACAGATGACTGGAGCCAAATACAGGCAAGCCCACAAGTAGTCCTCCATGAGGGCCACAGACAGTATAGAGCTTTGTATGCAAGGTCACCTACAAAATTATTAGGCATGACTTTTCTCCCCTCTGAATCTTTATTGTCCCTCTTTTACATTATATATAATCCCTCTAAGTATGTTATATTTCTGACTATTTTCTCCAGAATTTTGAAAGGGGTGATACCACAATATACAGATACACATGCTGCATGTACCAAGATATCAAATTCATATATTTCCCATCTTCAGCATGAACAATAAGGCAAAGTAACCATACCTTTACCCAAACTCGGTTCTTCCCAGCTGCCTGTCTCCGACGTTTCTCTGGCTCGGGGCAAAGGTTGTTGTCAGTTACTGATGATGACTGAGAAAGCTCTAATTGTAAAATTGGTTCCCCTGGGGGCCTTCTTGTGCGAGAGAACACTTCAAGAACTTCTAGCTGCACCTGATGGAAATTTAAATATCGTTTAGCATGACTTTTTAAAAGTTTAATAACACTACAATTTTCAATACAGTAATTCTTTAATCTTTAATAAATATTTCTACATCCCCAAGACATAAAAATTTAAAAAATTGTTTCTATATAAAACCAGCGTTAAATGTTATGAAATGCCATTTTCTGGGCGAGTCCTGGAGGCTTCCCGGAGCTATACCGGACTGATATGTATGTATTAGACTCTGGCATCAGTCAACTGGAGTTCTAGCCTACTGGTGACCACGAGCCAGAACTTGGCTCCTCTCAAGAGAGGCACGAGGAGCCTATAGAAACCCCCAAGTGGCTGGAAGCATTCTGTGTCTGCCATTTACCAGGTTAGGCACCCAGAAAGGTAGGCATCTCAAAGCAAACTCCACCTGATTAAAATTGATACCAAAAACCAAACTATCAAGCAGAACTCCACTATCTGAAAACAAGCAAACAAGCATGATGTCACAATCGCCGCTGCACCACTCTCTGCGCAGCTCCCCCCCTACACGGGAGTGGAAGGTGGAGCCCCAGGCCTCTCGCGCCGGCCATCCAACCCCAGTTCAGAGGCTGAATATCAAAACGTTAAAACCGCCGATCAGAGGGAGGGAGGGTTGCCGGGGAGCCTGTGAGTTTCACCAAGAAAATGGGGTTTCATTACATTCAATGCTGGTTTTCTGTGGAGAGTCCCTCCAGCTCCCTGGAGCTACCTAACCACAGAAAAGGAATAGAGGGACTTACCCGGGAAGCGGCCGCCACTCACATCTTAATGCAAAGTCAAGACAACTGACTACAAAATGCGACCCAATGCGACATAGGCCCAACTAGGGCCAGAAATATTAACGTGGTAATGGGCAACTAGGACCCTGTTCGACCTCCAAAATTCTCGTACCCTAATGTCAGCCCAAGACATATTACCAAAAACAGCAGCTAAAGCAGCAAATTTGTGAACATCATCGCTGCAGTCTCCGTGGTGTAGTGGTAAGACACTCGCCTGGCGTTTCGCGAGCGCTATGTCATGGGTTCGTATCCTGGCCGGGGAGGATTTACTGGGCGCAATTCCTTAACTGTAGCCTCTGTTTAACGCAACAGTAAAATGTGTACTTGGATGAAAAAACAATTCTTCGCGGCAGGGGATCGTATTCCAGGGACCATAGGATTAAGGACTTGCCCGAAATGCTACGCGTAGTAGTGGCTGTACAAGAATGTAACAACTCTTGTATATATCTCAAAAAAAAAAAAAAAAAAATCATGTGCACGAGGATAGACCGCAGGCTGGCTGGACCGAATAACCCTGAGGACAACCTGGGAGACTCGAACCCTGGAACAAGGAAGAACAGAAACTGGATCAATCCAAAGCACGTCCATGGTCACAGAGGCCGTGGAGCGCAAATAATGGCCAAGAGCCACAACTGGACACAACACATGATGCACCCCCGACCAAACCAACCAAGCATCAACCACCCAAGGACCCCTCCAGAAAGCCGCTATTTTCTTTGCGAGAAAAGAAGGAGACAGTTGCAACCGAACAAGCTTACCACTAAAACCGAAAGAACAAAAACCCCTGCACCGCAGGAGAGCATTAAGCTCCTGACCTGATCCCCGGAGGCCAAAGCCAACAAGAAAAAAGCCTTGACAAAACAATCCCAAACTGAAGGGGCTATCACAAACCTAGAAGGAGAAAAAGAAAAGAGAGCACCTGGTCTAACAACCAGGACTGTTCAGGCGACGCATACGCAGGCCAGAGGTGAAACAATGCAAGAGATAGCTTGCAAAACGGGGCTGAAGTGACATCCACCCCGAATTCAAGCAGGAGCAGCTCTGCCAATGCTGCACGAAACGAGGCAACAGTATTCGGTATAAGATGACAGTCCTGAAACAACCAAGAGGGAAAGGACAAGACAACCTACAAACAGAAACAAATAATGAAAGGACCACCAGGAGACTTCATACTGCTGCCAAGACGAAACTGGCAGGTTGGACACCATCAAAGAAGCCACCTGATCACCATACAAATGGTGATAAACCAGCGTCAAAAAGACCAGACGTGAAGATTTGAGAAGATGATCAAACCAGCCATGTAACGAATTGGCCCGATCTGCTGAAAGAGACGGAGCCGGGGGAAGATCCCGGGTTTGGACATCGAGCAAGCAGCGCCTGAAACCAAGGCTGGGCCCAGCCACCAAGGAGCCCAAAGGACTACTCTCCTCTGGTAAGACACGGAGCAACAGCGGAACCGGGGGGGAGGGGGGGGGAGAGGTACCAGTAACCCCACCTTGACCAGTCCTGCCTGAAGACATCGACCCTGAAGGCCTTGCATTCGGAGAAGAGCGCCACATATACCGGGAGACACCTCGACTACACCGACGCGAAGAGGTCCACCTCCGAGAGCTCAAACATTCAGCAGAGCCAACTGAACGAGTCGACGTCGTCCGAACATTCCGTAGACAGGGGAATAAACAGAGACAGGCCAGCCACCAGGACGTTGGACATCCCCTGAACGTGAACAGCCAGGAGAGCCAAATTCCGAGAACTCAGCAGACGAGTCACCTGAAGCGACCAGCCCCAAAGAGCCAAGGATACAATCGAACCCCCGCTGTTCAGGCAATGAACCACAGGGAAGCAGTTCGAATGGAGCCGGATCATCGATCCACAAGTGACCCGAACTCTCCAAAGCAACATCCACACTGCCGCGAACTCCCGTACCGTGCTGTGGGCTTGACGGAAGGACGGATCTCACTGCCCCTGGCTGGCCTGGTAAGCACTGGTCACAAAGCCCAGCCAAGAGATGACCCGTCCATGAACACATCAAGCAGGGCTCATGTAGGCGCCAAAGCACTGAACCCCGAAAAACCCGAAAAGGAAGCCAGAAACACAGCCGCCAACGTTAGGCACCAGGAGGCTGAACCCAGCAATTGCGAGAGAGGTGGAAGGGATGGCCCCGAAGGAACCAGAACGCCCACCGAAGCCAAACTCAACCCGGCAAATAGACCAACATGGCAAAGTTCAGACTCCCGCACAAACTCTCGAGCAACCGCCTCATGACCTAGGAACCCCCCAAAAACAGTCGAAGGTGGGACTGTAGCTGCAGCAAAGCCTCCGGAGTGAGAGACAAGGAAGTGGTCTGAGAGTCCCACACAAGATAGTCAAGACCGAACCTGAGAGGAAACCAGATGAACCTTTAGTTCACCAGGAACCCAAACCTGGGGAGCTGGAAAATAACCAAATCCCTGGTGAGAAGAAATGCAGACTGGCTGGGAGCCCACACTAACCAGTCGTCGAGGTACGCCAGAACCTGAACCTCCCCTAACAGACGCAAACGGGCCACCATGGCCTGGTGTCAGAAAACCCGACACCATTTAATAATATTACATTCAACATGCAGATCATATTGCTGCTGTGTTGTATAAACAAGTTACCCATAGAAAATGTAGCTTGTAGTGGAATTTTCTGTCAATAGAAAACGGGATATCATTGCCACATACTATTATAAGTTCACCAACTATTCTGTTGGGAATTATTCTTAAATACATTAGTCTTTGGACTTTTACATCATAAAAACATCTTATTTTAATTAACTTAATTATCAGTATCAAAATAAAGTAAATGTGACCCTTTTATCAGTTACTGATATCTGGACAAAGTGCCAAGGCGTCAGTGGAGGAGGAAGTGGTCAGCCATTGTTTAAGACCAGAGGCGCAGGGGAGCAAATTCAGCTCCTATAATTTCTCTTGGACGAAGTGTGATGGAGATCAGAGTAGTGTTCTATCATCATCAACACGCTGTCAACATAATCAAGGGAAGCGTCCTACCGAAACCCATTTATCTAATCATTTCTGGCCAGTTAAATGTTAGGTAGATAAGGGCGAACCGGTTAGAATGCGAACCAGCCTCTTAAATAAAGGTAATTAAGCCTTGGTCCTAATTATCTATTATACAGTGTTTTCTCTGATATAGCTGTCATATATTAGGATTCTGGCTTTACAGCTAGCGCCCTTTGACAGGAACAAGAAGAGGAAGCAAGACTTGATACATCAGTTACTGGGTGATGGAAGCTAGCTTCAAACGAGGATAATTTGGTGTCTACATCCTAGTTATACCTGGTGGACTAAGGCTGCTGTACAATAAGATAAGGAACCTCCTCAATGTATATCAATATATGTAGTTTAATACTGTAGTTTGATTGGCTGCATATATATATAAATTTAATATAAACCCCCCCCTAATGTGTAAGGATCGATTTGTGAGATTATTGCAGAAATACAGTCTACTTAACATCATACCAATTGCTATCGAAATATATAAATTAACGTAAATATAAATTCTATATAAATTCATATAAATTAAATATAAATCTCACAGGTCGGTTCCCACACCTGGGTAAGGCGTGTGAACATGCAAGGTGCCAGATTCAAGCCGAATGGAAGGCAACGAAAGGGGTAAGCCTGATGCCACACAACAAAACCTAGTTAGTCCCTGAACCCCCAGATGAATTGGGACATGCCAGAATGCATCCCAGAGGCCCAGAGACATCATCCAAGAGCCCGGCTCCAACAGAAGATGGACCTGGGACAGAGTAGTCATCCGAAAGGAGTGACATTAGACCCAAAGGGCCAGAAGGGACAAGTCCAGAATGAACCGCAGGTCCCGCAGTCCTGTTTCGGAATCGGAAACAGGCGGGAAACTCATCCGAGGGATGAGGTCGTTTCGACCAAGCCCAAGCGAACCCACTCCAAGATGACTCGACAGAGCGCAAGAGAAGCCTGGCCCTCCAGCCACGAACCCCCCAATGGAGGAGGGGCCACTCAACGCCACCGCAGGCTGCAAGAAATAGCGAGAACGTCCACAAATTGTGGGATCAGGCATGAGAAAACAGCGCAAGCCTCCATCCTCATTGCCCCATCAATGGGACGAACCATAAAAGGACCGACGCCCCTTACGAGAAAGTCAACGACAAGCAGAGCGATCACTGCGTCGACCAG